TAAAACACGTAAACACCGAAAAAACCCCTTCGAAAGTACACACAAAGGCACCCAAAGTTGTTCTAAATTCACCCTTTATAAAGGGTACTATGCGCCACCGATGGAGACCATCAAATTGTAAGTCCCTCCTGAAACACCCGTGTATTGCAGGCGCATTTATTTGAAAAAAATACAAGCTAAATTGTACAGAAAATGCTCACTTTGCATGGCTACTGAAGGAGTAGTATGGCATCATCTTCACCATCTTAACATGTTCTTTCTTTTACAGTATATACTTGAACAAACAAGCTGATCTGAACCAATCTTCGTTTTGTATAGGTGACGAATCGGTGCACGCGATCTTCGTGATGCGTGAGGCAATTTACGGCTTGCGTCTTGGACCATGAATTTCAAACTGGAGCTTCGCTATGTTATTTGCTTCTGGCAACGAACATATAGAGCACAGGAGTTGTGCAAACATACTGCGGGAGTTGTAAATGTATCGTCAACAAAAGGATGTAATCTTGGACGGTCATGTTTGCTATGTCCTCTTCTCTTTCAGCTTCTCACAGATACTCTTTTCTTTCATCTGCATCATAGAAAACCCGGAGGCTGATGCTTTTCATATATATTTTTTCACCTTATACTATTCAGTATTTATACAATTAGAAGAAAGGAAAATAATTGACTCGACTCATCCGAGTGTGAAATTTTGGATAAATCTTCCGGAGGATGCCGGAAAAAAATTCATTTTTTCCTGTTTTTTATCAGTTGTATGAACACCTAGTCCTTGTAGTTCGTGTTAAAAAACCTTTTTTTAAAGTATATTTTACACGATTTTCAAGGGGTTAAATGTATTTCTTTCTTGATTTTCATTTAAAAAGAAAATTACTTTCGAACGGAATTAATACATTAAATATTTAAATAACTTTAAATTGTGTTTATTGTTTACTTTATTTCTAGAAAACTATGTTTTATTTGTTCTTTAAATTTTAAAATTTTATTATTTACGAGTATATACGAGAAATGTAAGGTAAATAAATGGTTAAGTTTTATTCATTATATATACTTTGATGTTTTTTTTTAACGCAGTAATGAAAGTAAATAATGGTGTACACAGTCGATATGTCCTTTAAAATACTATATATACAGGTAAGTAGCTTCGTATGAAGGGTATAAATGTATAGGTTTTAACATCACACAATGGTATATATATCTATACACACGTACAGTAGATATGAATGAATAATGAGCATGTATATGTATATAATATACAAAAAACAGCACATAAGTTGACCTGTTAACACGTTTAAAATATAAATGTATAGGTGTACTGTACACTTACCTACATCATTTGTACACATTTTTTTGTACATAAAACATATCTGTGCTGAATTAAATTTATAAACGACGTAAGAACACGCAACTCTTCCAAATATAGGCGTAAGTTCCTGCTGTTCGTGTACACCCGAGCGAGGATTTCTGATAAATGTAAGGTGTATTTTCTTTAAAAATAGTAAAAAAAACTCTCAAGACATAAAATTCCATTGCAGTAGGTTTTAATTTATAAATCTCAATCCATAAATAAAATTTGTCTTCACAACATATCAATATACATGGACATGCAGACATGTTACAAGAAGGGAACAGACAACCTAATACTGGTACAAGCAAAGTAGTTTTGTTTTTTTCTTATTTTTTTTTTTAAATTCTTTCCATTTGCTACAGTTAAAAAAATATTACAAAAAGAACACTCCTCAAAAAGACAACTAGTGTAGTTAATTTTCTTTTATTTTTATTTATTTCTCTTTCAAAAAAGTGTATCTCCTCAAAAAAACCACGTGGGACTTTATGGAAAGGTTTCAAAAAACTCCCTTTACACGTCACTCCCCCCTCAAATTAACATATTTTTTTCTATTTATATATATATATATATATGTAATTCCTATTGCTCTATGGAGGAGAATCACTTTCTGTAAAATAAATAATCGAAAGAAAACACAGTAAAATAATAAAGGGTCTTCCTCAATTCGTTCAAGTGAGGATCTTCATCAAGAGAAATTCGGATTTGCACCAAAACATGGCAGCACCTTTGGCCTGAGATGAAAGTTTAGGATTCAATTATTGCAACAATAGTGCACACACGTCCATAAAGATCGATTTAAGAGACGGAATTTTTTTTTTAAAGATATATAATCTACCTGTTGATCCATACCTGAGTTATGAGGTTTGAAAGATTGAAACAGTTAAAAAGTTTGCATATACACGAGTTTAATTCGTTAAAAGTTGGTGTTATTTTTTGAAATTTTAACACTTTAAATGAAGGGATTGTCTCGTGAGAGGTACAGAAATATGCGAGGTTGAGCTAAAAGGTTACAGTATAGTTTTGGTGCATATTCAAAGATATATAAGAAGATCCTCATAGAAAGGATTCAGGTAGACCCCCGTAGAAGTGAATGTTGTACAACCATACGTTCACAAATAAAACAGAAAACAGCAACCAAAGTACTGATCAGACGACAGTAGCTCCACAAAGATCCTTGGAGCCAATTATTGCACAGTCGTCACTCGAAAATTGTGGGGGGGTTTACTGTTTTGTACAAAGAGGAGGAGGAAGATGAGGTTGTATACGAATAAAAGAGGGCATTTTCCTGCTTCAAAAACGTGTAGGAATAAGCGTGAGAAGGGGCGTAAAGTAAGGAAGATAGTTAAAAAAAAATTTAAACAAGACACACCACCCGTAGTATATAACTGTGATGCCCTAAGCCCTGGTGTATGTACCGTATTATCATCCCCCCAGTGCGTGTATAACGAACACCACGACAAAATACACACCAGACGCGACTACTTTAACTTTATCTCTCTATACAAAAATTTTTTATTTATTTATTTTATTATTATTATTTATTTATTTTTTTCTTGTGGATGCCATGGCTTCGTTCGTAAGAGTTAGCCTTTCTTTATACTTTCGAGAGTTTCTTATGACTTATATAGCCTTAATTTTTTAACTATTATGTACACTATCCTCCCATAGATAAAGGTTATAAACTGAGAAAGGAAGGCTCTTAAAATTATGTACAAAAATTAATATTGAAAAGATTTTTTTTCTCCTTTGTAAATTATTGAATTTTGAGCCTTCGAAAATCACATTTGAGCTTGTTTCAACCATGCAAATAAACGTTTTATGTACAAAATTTACAATTTCTTATCAAAAATTCTGCAAGGAAGAACTCAATTATATTTTCTACAATTAGTTAATGTGTAAATTTATTATTTTCCCCCCAAAAAAACAATAGATTTTTAAGATAAATCTACTAAAACTCAACACATTCGTCACGATAAACCAAGACTTTTGGGGACATTTCTAACAATTTTGAAAGCAATAACACTGTCTATTTTCTACTCGTTAACATCAGTAAGGAATTCCCATTGTTCCTAGACAATTTCTTGAATATTTTGGAAGGAAGAATAGGAGAAAAAAAGGGGTAGAAAAAGACGATACAATTCGATATCATAAGCAAACAAATGCACAATGTTTAAAGTGAGCAACTGTTATTATAGTAGCAGATGACATTATTGCATGGTGCATGCGGGCTATAGAAGGAGGGGGGCAAGGATACAGAAAGGGAGAACTCGAACGAACAGTTGCCATGGCTACCAGGAAGAGAGGCAGTGGAAAACAGTGTGTCATCCAGATGGAGCAAGGATGCCGACGTGTGCACACTTGTAAGGCAACGTGTAGTTTTTAATATTTTTTTTTTATTTACCACAGTCTTGTTGTTGTTGTTGTTGTTCTCCTCCTTATTTATTTATTTATTTAATACAACTTCTTACTTTTCAAAAGCAGAATGAATAATAATAATATATATATATATAATTTTTTTTTAAATCTAAAGCACAGGGAGCCTTATCCTTATAAATTCCCCTTCACGAGTCTAAGACTTGGGGGTGTGGGGAAAATAAGATCATTTTTTGGGGGTTCATACACACATATAGTTAAACGGTCCTAACTAATGCACGATTAACACCATTATGTTTATAGGAAACAATCACTTCGAGTTGTTTCCTAAGTGTTGAGGTATGGTGAGCAAATTAGTTCATTTTTCTATACACGCAGGCTAGATTTTGTGTGTTAAAGTGGTGGACAAATTATAAAAAGGGGGATTTCACTAGAGGTTACTTGGAGGTGGAGTGTGGTCACACCACTGCCGTCATTGTACTGTTGGTTTTCTTTAAATCGGGAAGTTAAACGAACATCACATATACCTGCATCCGATTACTGATTAAACAGGTTCTAAAAACTCCATTCCTTCTAAAAAAATGACTTTATTTATTTTGTGTTTTGTTACCTTACCCGGTTAAGGAATTAGTAAATTTTTAAGGGAGAAAACATAACTTTCTTTCAATATATATATATTTATATACAATCGCGGGTGGGTTATAAGAAATTTAAAAAAAAAATTTAAATGGGGTGGGTGAGAATTTGTATTCATTTCACACGAAATCTGTTGTGTGACGTTGAAGAAGTGATAGAGGTAGGTGGGGGAAGAAGAGTCCCTCTGTTTAAAGAGTTTGTGTGGTCTACAAAGGATACCCCGCATTTAAAAACGGTCAAAAAGTTTATCTTTTGTTACGTATTTAACGTACATAACCCAAAAAATGGGATCATCACTAATATATAACATTGCTAAAGAAATAACAAGTTAAATATACCTCTAGAAGGGGTAAAGTTCTGGTTCTTCAAGCACTTTATACCATTCAGAAACATTTATTTACTGTATTTATATATATATATATATATGTAATTCCTATTGCTCTATGGAGGAGAATCACTTTCTGTAAAATAAATAATCGAAAGAAAACACAGTAAAATAATAAAGGGTCTTCCTCAATTCGTTCAAGTGAGGATCTTCATCAAGAGAAATTCGGATTTGCACCAAAACATGGCAGCACCTTTGGCCTGAGATGAAAGTTTAGGATTCAATTATTGCAACAATAGTGCACACACGTCCATNGGATGATGGCACAACAGCACATGACGTAAATATATTATTATTATTATTATCATCATCATTATCATTATTATTAATTATTATATAGGGGCAAATTTGTACTTGTTAGTTTAAAAAAAGCACACGTGATTTTTTTAAATAGTGTGCAAAAAGGGGGAAGTTAGAAGCCCCGTGTTTAATATTCAAAAAAAGATTCCTCGCGTTCAACAGAAGCAATTCAACAATAACTTCCAAAAACCTTACTAGAAGTGAGGTGTAATTCCTTTAATATGACTGAAGGTGGGGGAAATTATAACACCTGAATGTTACGTAACAGGAATAAACACCTGACTAAAAGTGAGGGGGGGAAGATTCAAAAGCAAAAACGTAAACAATTCAACTCTTCCCGGGTCCTTACATAACAAAAAACTGTATTTTTTTTTAATTTATTTTTTTATGAAGAAATGTTAAAAAAATCTTAACATTTTCTCATTCTCACATACACACACTACGTGTTCGTATCTCTTTCGTGCAGGTTGTCTCATGTTGCGGAACTAACCACAGGCACTTGAATGATGACAAAGGCAGGTTTTTTGTATAATTTTTTTAAAATCTTATTCTTCGTCTTAAACAAACGGAATTTAAGATATTCTAAGCTTACCCATTCACACAAATGACACTTAAGTATATAAACGACCACCGTTTCCTTCTAAAGAAACACGAGGGAGCTTTAAGGTGTGTGTATGCATGTGTGTATGTGTATGTGTGTGTGTGTTGTTTTCTCTTTAAGATAAAGTAAAGAAGGGGTTGCACTCGATGATTGTCGGAAGTGTTTAACGAGGAGGAGAAGGATGCAAAATGGTATATAGGAAACAAAGAAATTTTAGGTGGAAATTTTAAAAAAATCCTTTAAAGAAAAGCTGGCTTGGCCAGTGTTTACAGCACAGACGATTGAAAAAAATTCATTTCTAATTACTACACGTGTGATCTAATCAGCATTTAGTATACTTTTAAACTATGCACAGAAAGGCAACAGAATGTATAATTTTTAGGAGTTATTATTATTTTGTTGCGTGTTTTCTGTAAGCAGGACTTTGCTCTTAGCTTCCTCTCCTTGAATTTCCCATTAACAGTGAAGATAATGTTTATTTATTTTTATAATTCGCTCGGGGGGTTGATAGGTATTTTTAAGATGATTTTTCATGCTTTAGCATGCATCTGATAAGCCTAAAATAGACAGCTTCTTTAGTAATTTTCATTTTATGTCAACACAACCATGGATTTCGGGAGAAATGGTTATACCATAGACGTTATTTTACATCGTGTGAAACACGATAAACAGCTTTAAAAACCGCATATTTTCTTATTTATTTTGAATATACCACCAATATTAAGTGCTTCTTTCTTCTTTCTATGTGTAGTTAGTTCACATTTTTTATATCAGGTCAGATAAAGACAACGAGATGCATATCTAACGCAGTGATGGGCACTTCATTATTCATTAAAAAACATCAACTGAGCTTCATTCAATCCGACCCTTTGGAAGAGCAAAAAATGTCAAGGGACTAGCGTCCTAGTAATAGGCTGTGCACGCGCCTATTACCCACCCCCTTCGTACACCAACACGCAAAAATTACACACAGAGAAATAGATAGAAACAAACAACGGACCTCGAAACAAACCCCCAGCATTTAGTGTTTTTTGTTTTTAATAATAGTGCATACCCTTTCCGGGGATCTGTGATGGTTCATTTTTTGGTGATTTACCCCCGGATGGGTCGTATCTCGAAGACTGATTAACAAAAAAGTTGAGGTGTCTGCCGTCATCACGTGATCTCCTTGGAGTCCGAGTCCCTATCGACCAATGCTAGGTTGATGTTCTGGTTGACCACACACTTCCTCATGTGTTTCTCTAACGTGCTAGGCACAGAGAACGGCATGTCGCAGAACCTACATTTGTAAACGTCTTTGCCGAGTCTGCCGTGTGTCTTCATGTGTCGCGTGAGCTTTGAGCTCTGGGCGCAAGCGTAGCTGCAAAGTTCACACTTGTATGGCTTCTCCCCCGTGTGAGAACGTCTGTGTACGGTGAGGTTGCTACAGTTTTTGAACACCTTTCCACAATACTCGCACGTGTCGTTACGTCTCTCCTTTGGCTTAATTGGTACACCGACGCCACTGGTGCCGGGGCGAGGACTGGTGGAGGCTGGTGGACCGACCAAATTGGCAGTCGACGACTTCAAGGCACTTTCTGTGGATGAAGATGATTTCCTGCGATCAGTATCTGTACCCGACGCCGTGGATGATACGGGTGGCATCCCTAAGTACAGATCACGATATGTAGGGGGGACGGACGGGAGCCAAACTCCGGCATATAGGCTCTCGCGACTGTTTTCGCTCCCGACGTCCAACTTTAACCTTTTGCCAGCGTTGAAGTGCTCGTCGAAAGCACCTAGGAGGGTGGGAGCGCCGAAATCCAAACTGGAAGGGCCCAAGATCTTGTTTCCTCCATCCCTTCTCGACCCGTGATGATGGTGATGAGGATGCGTGTGATGATCGCCATCGTCCGTCCCGCTGCTTACCATGATGGAGCCATCTCGACCCGGGGATGGCTTCTCGCGCTTCACTGTGCTTTCTACCAATGCTTGCTTGTACGCTTCGCTGTATTGTTGGATGTTGTTGAGCCCGATCTTCTCCATCACTTCACCTAACAGTGACCTTCTCGCCGCTTGACCGTCGTTCGAATTCTCCGATTTGATCTCGTTATTCTCGTGGTTTTTTGTAGAAAGGTCTTCGGCCACCGCTTCGCACATGGAATTTTCGGGGTCCTCTTCCTCCAGGTCCTCCTCGTCTTCGTCTAGTTCTTCTTCCTCCTCCTCCTCGTTGTCGGCACCCTGTCCGTCGGATAGGTCTTCATCACAGTTGCTGTGTCCCCCGTCCTTTCCGGCACTGGAATCGGGGGTGGAGCGCCCCGAGTCTATACTCGCATTTTCGGACATTTGCGACTTTTCCCTGTGGGTCTTCATGTGCCTCTTGAGCTTGCTGGCCTGCGTGCAGGCGTGATTGCAGATGTGACACTTAAACGGTTTCTCACCCGTGTGAGACCTCCTGTGAACAGTTAGATTGCTCTGAAACCGGAAGGACTTGCCGCAAAATTCGCAGGACTTCATCTTAGGTGAGGATGGTTGTTCACTCGACTTGCTACTAGTAGAAGAACACGACGACTGTGGGGGTTGAGGGTGTGACTGAGGTGGGTGAGACGACGGTTGCGGTGTAGACGACGGCGTCGATGGTAGAGAAGAAGGTCTTGTAGAAAGAGGTTGGGGTGGTGTTGGAAACGGTGACGTCAACTTCCTGGGAGAAGCGAGGGAATTCGGACTGGTCGCACCTGCCAACTGTCTAAGTCTTTGGGAATAGAAGTCCATCTGAGGTTCAAAACCGAGACTGAGAGAGCCACCACGTGTCCTATCGAAAGTTGAACGGTGAGCTTCGAAGGGTGTGATGCCGAGAGGCGTTTGATGGTTCAACCTATGGAACTGGTCACCCAATAAATCTGGTCTGAAATCATGACTAGAGGAACGGCTTAGGAAGTTTGTTGTAGTATTGAGCGGGGTTCCGAACTGCCTCTCACTAAGAGGCGATCGGAGGAACTGCAGTGCATTGTGAGGTGTGGTGTCCAGCCCGAGCTGCTGCGTTAGCGCAGAAGTCACTGGCGAAGTTTCTTGGCTTCTGGCCCCCGATGACGTATCCACGTAGATTTTGAGGCCGTGTAGATTCTGGACGTGTTGGATGAGGTTCCACGCTGTACCGAACGTGTGTCTGCACGTACAGCACGTATAGCTGCTCGGTTCCGCTGTAAAGAAACAGAAAAAACAGCAGATTTAAGTCACAAACGGCAAAAAAATCAAGGGGAAAAAACAAGTCGCGTGGATTCCATCATCACTCATAATATTGCTAGTATTTTTTTAAAAGAAAAAAAGGAGAGGAGCAAAGCAAAATGATTAAGTCGACGACCCCACAAAATGAATCATTAATGCACATCCGAGCCAAATAGTAATCTTGTTCTCTAAATAAATACTATATTGCTACACATCTACCCAAGCTGAGTATGAATTATTGTTAAAGTATTCTTTAATATTTTACACGGTAGCACCGGGATTGAATAATGTGTTTTGGAGGGAGATCAGTTTACACAGCACTGATTGGATTCTTCTAAAAAATATATATAAAACTCTAAAGAAAAAAAATACCGACATTGTTCTTCAGCATCTCCAGATTTTTGACACCAGCACGATTAATTGATGATAAGATCTCAATTTTCCATAAATTGTCTGATACGATCCTAAATAAGAGGCTAATGGGTTGATGTCAGCTGCGTAGATATCAACAAGTTTTATGTATAAAAACACTGTGTTTTTTTATAAAAAGTACATTAAATTATTGATTTTTTTAAAAAAATATTTATCTGCTAATGTTATCAGCAGATGCACTTTTCGTCTCCGTAAGTAGAGAGAAGAATGATGAGTCTTGTAAGCACGAGTAATTTACCCCATAAAAATCAATAAAATAAATAATAATATAATGTTACTTTTATATTAAGTTATTTTAAAATTCAATATTTAATTTTTTAAATAATGTACTTTTTAAAAAAGAAGTCTGAATAGAAAATCTCTACGTCTCAAGGAATGCCGAGTAGTGTATTAAGTGTACCTTTCAGGGGGGACTACAGTGTGCTAAAATCATTAAAAATTAATTAATGTCACCGAAAGGGGATTCTAACAAAGGTCAGACATCGTCTAACAGAGCGCACGTGGCAGTAGAAGAGACGTAACACTAGGTGTTTCTTCGTTACGATATTATGGACGTGTGCAACTCGTAACCACCCAAATACAGGTGAAATCTGTAGGGTGGACGTTCATAGGACGGCGTAACCTTCGTTTTAGGCTGGCGACCCGAAGGTCAAAGAGTTGAAGAGGACCCGCCATGTGTCACTAACCTTCTGCAGTTATGCAAGTTACACCTACCTCCACCCATGTGTTTTTATCATGCAAATGTTTAATGCTTTCTGCAACGTAGAGTTTCCTGACTTCTGACATTCCTTAAATCCTAGATATTACTACAGTAGCATGTTTTTTTTTTCAATTCGTGAACCACTTCTTATGATGGATGAGGAAAATCAGAAAGGGTTTAAAGTTTGCAAATTGTACGACACCCTTAATTCTTTAAGTAAGAGGCAAAACGAAAAATGGTACCTAAAGAGATTTGCATATTTGCAGTAAAATTCAATAAAATACTATAGAATTCCAGTAAAGTGGGTTCGGTATGCTTAAGATATTCTTATAAACTCCCCTCCTAGAAAGGCTGCACCTTTTCTTTTGTACAACTTAAATCGAATTCTTTCTTGTAGAGTCAAAGTGTCCCGAAGTCATTTGAATGTTTTTAAATGCACAAAAGTCATAACACTACTGTATATGCACCATTAATTTTGTTTGGAGTGCAAAAAGTAAGTGCATCTTTACCCCTATATCTTCAATCTTTGAAAGAAATTTAAGAGGTAATTCAAACACAACCAATTCATCAATCGCTCTCTGCTTTAGAGTTAAATCACTACTAACTAACCCTTTAATTCGCAGTTAACTAGGAGTTAAATTAGAGTCAAAACATCCTCCAAAATTAGATTAATTTATATTTAACTATTCCTTTGAACACGGTTAAATCAGAATCAATTAGTCCTCCTATTCGGTATTAAATCACAGTCAAATAAACCTCTGACAGAGTTGAATCAGAGTCAATTAATCCTCTGATTCAATTTTAAATCAAAAGGTGTAGGGTTTGGTGTGTTAAAATAATAAAAATACCGTCAAAAATACGAACACAATAATGAATTGCCTTTCTTTATTTCACGCATCGTAATTAGAACTTTTGAACTGTCTGTTTGTCTGTCCAATTCCGTATCAAAGTACGACCCGCTTTTCAACTATAAAATCACACAAACGAATTCAAATACTTAAAACATTACCCTTACTTCTCATTAACCCCCTTTCGTAGTTTATTTTCTAAACCCAATTAGTGAATTAACTAGACTAAATTAAGATTAATTCCTCAAAGATTTATTTTATCATTTTTTAGAGACAAAAATCAGTTTGGAGAACGATCCACACTGCGAGTAGAGAGACGTATGAAGTAAAGCAATTACAACAACACGGCATAAATCACTTAATAAAAGAAACTTTATCACTTCACACGGATTAAATACACGATCTTAGTTGGAGAAGAAGGAGGATATATATATAAAAAAAAGGGACAAGAGAAAGCTGGTTGAGATTAATTCGTCTTTCTGCCCTTCCTCCCCGGCAAGTTTGGCCAGATAATTGAAGATACGTGACCGTAATGGAAACCAGAAACGTGATACGTGGATTACGCCTCCCATTTAACCCTTTACTTTCTATACCCTCTTCCGCCCTTGCTGTAAATATGTTTAAGGTTAGATCCTTCGTCTACAAACGTCTCCTTCCCCCCTCTTTTTTTTCTCTCTTTCTGTCTGGTTTCGCTTCTCAAATATTCGCTTATGTTTACTTTTTAACCCTCAACTCACGTCACCTTACGCAATTCGAATCATTAAGGCTATTAAGGTAAATATAATTAACGATAAAGTACTTAATTCTAATTAATTTCTCATGCTATTACATGATTTTGATCCTTTATTGTAATCGAATTAACGATTCTTTTCTGTTTCGATCACTACTTGACTTAGTTTATCGTAATTACACAAGGCCACGTGCGATTCGGTGTTTCCTATGTGTTTTATATAAAGGTTAAAGGTGAGTGAGTGGTTTATTTGATAAATAAGAACCTTCTTTTACGTAAATTTAGAGCAAAGATGCGAAAAATTCCCACCTCTCCATTCTGGATCCTTCTCTTAGTTAACAGTAACTATACAAGGCCACACATACAAGTGTATCTTCGTACGGTGTATACACGGTTTGTTTGATAAACAAGAGCCTTTATATGCATAAATTTAGCGTAAAAATGATAAAATTTCCTAACAACCAACCCCACTTACAACCCTTTTCTTAGTCTACGGTGAGTAATTAAACGAGGCCACACACGATTCAGTTTTTCGTGTGTGCATTCTATAAATTACAACAGGTGCATAAACGATTTACCTGATATATAAGAACCTTCTTCTGCTTAAATTTAGCGTACAGATTTGAAAAATTCTAACAATCACCCCTTTCAGGACCCCTTTCTTAGTTAACATTAAGTAATTAGGCAAAACCATACACACGCACACACTCACAAACACAGACAAACGTTTCGGTGTTTCGTATGTGTCTTCTACGAATGATAACAGGTGCATAGATCGTTTACACGATAAAATCCTTCTTTTCTACAAATTTAAAGTTTCGTAAAAATTGGAAAAATGCCGAACAAATTAGGTTTCAATCGTCCCTTTCCTGGCCTTTTTCTCAGTAATTAAACAAGGCCACATACGCGAGTCGTGCTTTCGTATGTGCCTACCGCCAACGTTAACAGGTGCATAAATCGTTTATTTGATAAATAAGAGCCTACTTGTGCATAAATTTAGCGTAAATGCAAGATAAAAATACGAAAAATGCGAAAAATGGCGGGTGTAATTTTCGAATGAAGCGTACTTATTAGTTGTAAAATCGATAAAATCGCATCGCCAGAAACCCCAAAAATGATGAAGCAAGGCATTTAGCGATGCTCTTTATAACTCTATTAAGCGTGTAATTTAACCTGGAATGAAGAGGCAAAAGAGGAGGAGGAGGAGGAGAGAAAAAACAACTAATGCATTAAAATTGTAAAGGTAAAATCATCTTACGTCATTAAGTAGATCGAAAACTATCATCAACTGTAACGAATTTCGCAAGATGAATGCACTCTTTCCCTCCTCCATTTTGCTTTATCGCAATGTCCACCAGACAACTAAATTAAATTCGATTTGGGGATTTCGGTCTCCATCTCGCCTTTGTTGAACCCAAAGGAGAGAGGGAGGTCACGACACCTTCGACACAGTCTAATGACGTAAAATACTTTACACTTTGACACTACGAAAGAAGTCAGTGACCTCTTGCAGAGAACCAGACGAAGGTATTTTTTTTTTTCTTCTTCACCCGTATGACGTCTGCTATTGTTAAACTTTGACCAAAATCAACTCTTTGATTGCCAGCTTTAAGTTTGAACCGATCGGATCATCAATCGTTCTAAAGGTGATCACCCTTCTTGGTTCCAGGTTCAGAATTTGGAACTAAGAGGTTTAATGTTCCTTAAACGAAAGAAATTCATTTAATTATCTTCAAGAGCATTCTTCTTGAAGCACTCTAGTGTCTCCTTATATATATAGGCCTATATATCGTTATGCAAATCTGGAATTTCCATAGAAGCATACCATACATAAATAAATTGTCGTTAGAATGTTATTAAGTTTAGGGTACTCTAAGTATTGATTTCTAGTAAAGAGAGCAAGTTCTTCTAAATTTAATCAAAGCAAATCTCTAAGCATTAGTTAGAATTAGTGCCATAGCAGCATAAAGAAGCAAAGCGTGGAGTATAGTATTTGAAAACATTGATGAAAAATCACTACAAAGTTGTCCGCTCCAAAATTACGTCATTAAGGAAGTCCCGAGGGGCAACTTGTGAAGGGAATGTTCCCTGAGGGATGTAACTTTTTCTCTAATGGACCCAACACGAAATAGTCTTAATCTTTCAAGAGTACCAATGGAGAGATCCTCCTGTATTTTTTTTTCTGAACAACTTTCTTGGTGTGTATAACTATATAACACTTGGCGATTTATAGAGGTAAAGCAAGCGTGTAAAGATGACCCAAATGTTAGACTGCAAGGCCCATTAGTTACGCGGCGACGAGCTAAAGGTGAATAAAAATTGCCCCCATGATGGACATTGGGACCGAAAAGTGACGTTTTGATAGTTAGTTAAGGGCTCTTCTGAGAAATTTGGGGCACGAATCGCGTCTTGCAAAGGGGATAGAAATCGTCTTGCGTCCTCGCCCTTCTAGGTTAAAACTGTAACAAGGATTTTGATGTAAGAGATAGAAATGAATATATTATGACCCTTGCAGAATAATTTTTAGTTACATAAAGAACACCCTTAAAGACCATGTCCTTTCTGAGGGTTGAAAGTATGTAAAGTACGGGTTTGGCTCTAACTAGAAGATAGTAAGTTTTGTGGGGGGAAGTCTTGCTGCTCAAAAGTTCAGCGGAGCTTCAGGCATTTCCAAAAATTTATAAAGAAATATCAAAAAATATGAAAGATTGCGTGATGATTTTTTTGGTGTGAAAAAGGAGGACAATGAAGATATTTTGCTCACCTGAATTCGTCATGGTGGCGGGTGGTGTCGCCGATTCCACCCCATCTTTCGACACCGACGACTTTGGTGACGTGTCCTCTTTACCTCCACCATTTTCGCGTAAACTAGCCGATGCGGGCGACCTGGCCCCATCTTCTTCACCATCCCTTGCAGCGGCCGAAGATGGCCTAGGCATATTCTTATCCTTCTTTGATATCGGTGCCGATATACTTGGCCTTCGACTCCTGACCACTTCTTGGACACCTGAGCCTTCGTTGTCGTTCTCGTAATCGGAGTCATCGTACAGAAGGTAGTTCTCTTTGTTACACGTTTGCACTTTGTGCTGGATAAAGCGGACGATGTCCGATAAAGGGAAATCTTTCTGACACACTCCGCATATTAGGGTGTCTTGGACCAGGTCCGTGTCGGCTGAAAGAGACAGAGGGAGGCACACAGATCAGTATCGTTGCCTTAACAACCCCACTCGATTTTTCAAAAATAATTCTACACTTTAAACTAGCCTCCCGTAATTAATTTCTTAACTTCCACCCCTTTTTAAAACGAGCTTCGATATAACGATAATCATCTATCGCAGCCCCTTTTTAAACGAGAATGTATCTTAAGAATGGACCAACTTTCGGGGATATAAACACGGATACAATTAATATAAAAGATTATAAAATGCCCAAGGGTTCTATATATATTATACATATACACGCTTAAAAAACACAGCAAATAATTAGTCATTTTTTAAAGGGAGGTATCGTATGCAAAACACAAGCTTTAGTAAGTAAGAAAAATTAAAATTTTAAAACAGGCGCGCGGTGTTAAGAAAAAATAAATGTGTTAACAATTCAGTTCATGAAGTGGTTTAAGATAGCAAGGAAAGGGAGGGAGGAAGGGAGGGAGGGAAGGAAAAAAAACAAGAAGCAGAGTTATTGGCAAAGATAAAGATCTTACTAAAAGGAGATAAATATAAAGAGACTGTTCAATCCGAGCTTAGAGGGGAACCCCCTAACACCAACCGCATAATCAGGGGTTAGAGTGACTCCTCATTCATTTCGCATTATGCTAATATCCGTGTGTTTACATACATATTTATTTCCTACATTAAACAGGCACAGATAATGCCACATGGCCTATTGTACATGGCAGTTTTTCAGGTTGGAGCGATCGAAGGTGCTCTTCCTCTATTAACATCTTCTCGTCTTTTAACATCCTTTCTTTCTCTCCTCATATTATTTACAGTTCTCCCATTGATCCTTATGAATTGGTCTGACGTCAAACAAGGTCGTCAACTTTAGCTCTTTATTAGTTTAAAGTTCATTAAACTAATTTAGTTATGTATGTATATATATATATTGTAGATGATGAATTCAAATATCGATAATTTCGTGATTAAAATTATAAAGAAATCTAATTAATTTGTGACAAGAAACGAAGGAGGAAAGGAGAAAAAAAGGGGCAAGAAAAATCTCTAACAAACCGTGAAAATTGCTCATTAAAATCCAAATTTTCAATTTGAAATTTGCTTCGGGTTGTCAAAAACTATTTAAAACCACAAAGACGTTTTCCATCCTCATTCGAAAAAGTAAATATTCACGTTTAGTGTAGATTTTTTCGTATTTCTTTTTTTCTTCCACCCCAACTTATGCTGCTCTTTAAAGGTTTCAGCGGTTTATTTGGCGAACACGACTTCGGGGTAAAGATACCGATACGTTCTCTTCCCCTCTTACACTTCCGGAGTGTCGTAATCGCATTTTGGCATTCTCCAAACAAGTGCAACACCATTCGACCCCCCATCCCAATCCTCCCAGCTCGGTGTTATCTCCTTCTTTGTTATATAGCAGTGCATGCAAGAAGATTACGTATTCAATATTCGTCATACAGGATCTCCATTACAAAGAAGTGTTTCGAACAATTCGGCGCCATGTTACGACTTTATAGTATAATAGCTTTTCCTATAAGATCGAGGCATAGTTTGTGATGTTGCAGTCAGGTATTCGGACCTTTACGGATGTCGTAAAACCATTTTACTGTCCTCGTTTCTCTGGTGTAAGAAACTAAATCGAACAATGCCTCATCTTTTTATAGCATCTTACCTTTTTCGGCTCCGTAGCTATAATTGTTAATCTATAGTATAAACCCGTTAAGCGCTCCTAATTATGTCGACGACTCTTGCACCACGTCTTTTACGATGCATAACTTATTATTGGCCTCATTACGCCAAGAATAACTTTAAAATGTAGTAAATAAAGCTAAGAGGGATGTGCGGAATCCATTTCTTTGTTTACAGGAAGACCCGGTTTGCTAGCTAAATTATAGCAATTGGTGCAGCGCTGGAGCATCAAATTGAACTCGATGACCCTGTCGCGCGTCTGCGGCTCCACTGTCCCTGTTTAAGAGTTGCCGAATGCATTGAACGTGTTGCGTAAGCAACGTTTTCGATGATCCGTGGGATAAAAGTGATGTAACCAATGCTATGTGCAATCCCTCTGAAAGCCCTTACGTTTCCGAGTAGTTCTGTAATGGTTAAGCTCATCAGGTTACCTCAGAACAATATCCAGCCAGGAATCGGTGGTTCCCCGAGCGCTATGGTGCAAGAGTGTCGTAGGAAAGAGAAAAAAAAGACAAAAAACGGAGCAGTCAATAAGTCTGGGAGGGGAGGGAAGGTGTAATTACTCGAGATGGGAGGAGAAGAGGGTAATCAATATTACTGTCTGGAGGGAGGAGAGAGGGACGAGGGAGAAAGGTTTCGCGACGACTTTCATTAAATTTACAGAAACGACTTGGAAGCAATGATCCTTGCAGGGAGTGTATGGACGAAAGATTCTCCGGTAATGGACGATCGGGACATAAAGGTAACGTTAACACAGACTCTCTCAGTTATGATAGGTCCAAGAGAGGAAGAACGACCGGACCTCCTCCATTTGATCTCCTTTTATCTTTAATACATTTTCTATAATCATTAATTTAAACAATTTCTATAAAAGATGTCGCACTCTGCTACAGATTTACTCACAAACATCTCTCTCCATGCTGACCATATTAAGAAAAATATCATTTTTTACAACTATACGTTTTCTGCAAGTGACTCCATCTAGCGGTTCGTAATTTCATTTATGACATTTTTTAAGTACCCCCTCATTCCGATAAGTTCTTAGTGTAACGAAGTAATATAATAAAAAAATTTCAAATTAAATAAGTAAAACACGGTATTAAATATTAGAAAAATTAATTTTTAGCAAAATATTTGCTTAGAAAATGCATCCAAGTTGCATAGAAAGATTATTTTGAACATATGGAAGGGGCCAAAGCAATTAAAACTAAGTGCAGCACGCGAATTTTTAACGTACAAATACAAAAGATTCGCTTGTCATCCCTCTTTACGGATCCAAAAACACAACAGAAATTTAAGAAAAAAATGAAAAGCATCTCGAAGCAGATTCAAAACATCAAAAAAAAAAAAGTCTAGTGATACCTGTCATAGCGGACAGCCGAAAGGTGGTAGTAGTAGAAAGTCCACACGAGTGCACCCAGTTAACAAAAAACACGACTGTAAGCAACTGCAGTATCCAGCAAAGTGACCACACTCGAACTTTAACCTCTTATCCACAATATCCAGGATATTCTGGTAGGATGACCTCTCGTTTCCCGGGTCATTCTCGCCTAGCCCAAGGCGCCTGCTGTAGAGCTCCGACTGACAGCGCAGAACCAAGACACATGCACACACCATATACACACAATTAGTTGTAGCAGGTCTGGGCCCAAGAAAACCAGTTTAGCTGGGACTAGCCGGACTAGTCCACGCCTTCTCCATGCCATTCACTGTTTCGCCACTGGATGATCGCAGACGGAATGAGGGAGAAGCAAAAAAAAAGGGGGGGAGAGAAAGATAGTAGTCGCGAGGAGTCATCGTAAACAGGGCACGAATGAATACGCGAAGGACGAAGATTTTTAAGGAAATTTATCACTAATTTTATAATTATTTCTAAATTAACACTTGTGGAATGTTTATTTACATTTTGCACGTGTTTAATTTTCAAAAACGTGCTTCGTACGTGTGCCACATCCCCGAATATTTGAGGTTTTGTTGCACCTTACGCTTACATAATGTATAATGGAGTATATAAGATAGAGCGCAACGTAGATAAAATTTAAAAATTTTAATTATTTTTTTATAACTTTCTCTTTAAAAATTTTAATTTAAACATAAAAATGTTTTGTTTATTTTATTTTATTTTTTAATTTTTATAATTTTCCTCTAAACTTTTACAAAAAAAATACAATTTTGTACGAAAATCGAATTTATTTTTCCTTCAAGATTTTTTATTTTATTTTATGGATTTATTTTAAATTTTCTTAAATTAATTTTTTTTTTTAATGCTTTAAAACTCCAAAAATTTCATTCTTTACACTTACTTTTTTATCAATTTTCAAATTTTTAAATGAGTTCTTAGTTTTTAAAATGAAATTTAAACGTAATTTTTTAGAATATTTTAAGTATTTTTTTTAGATTGTCTTTGAAGTTTCGTTTAACACTTTACACCCCTCGTCCTTACATTTATTACGTTTTAACGACTGTAAAAACAATTTTTCCAATTAATTAATGCTAAGCAGCATCTAAAAAAACACTTCTAAAAACACCCGACATACTTTTAAAGAGGAATTTTTTTAGAAAGAAAGAAGAGGAGCCATTTGTTTTCAGTTTTGTTCCTACGAAATTTAATGAAAAGTAAAGGTTTAAAATGCCATAAAATAACTTTGAAAAGAAAGCAAAACTATTCTAAAAAACAAAAAAAATCCCAAAACTTAATCTACTTATTAAAGATCAAGTAAAGTGAGTTGAAAGTTTTAATATACTTTATTTTATTTTTGAAAAATTCAACTACTAAAACAATATATAAATGTATAAAAGATATTTTTAGAAAATTTAACAATTAAATTTGTTTTTTTGGAATTTTTCTTTAAAGACACGAGCAGGTGTTCTTAATGGTACTTTAGTTCCTATTAGTGCAAGTCAGCAGCAATAAATTCTCAACGACTACCAATATTGTGGGAGTTGTTCATGGATTCTTGTTACCAATATTGTGAGGTTCGTGGATCTTACTACGACATAGTGGTGTTCATGAATTCGTACTATCAATATTGTGAGGTTTACAGACTCATACTACCAATATTGTGAGGTTGACAAATTCGTACTACCAATATTGTGAAGTTAAAATTTTAAGGGTTGGTGAATTTTACTACCAATATTTTAAGGGGTTGTTTGTGGATTCTTATTACCAATCTTAAGGGAGCTGTTTGTGGCTTGTTATTACTACTAAACAGTAGAAAAGTGTAACAATCGCTATTGTTACTTTCTTATGTATAGGCACGTAAATGTTTACAGTTCTACCCTTTGTATACTTCAAACTCTTGGTTTTGTG